ATACAAAAACATACACATACACGATTACCATGGAGAAATTTAAAAAAATGAAAGAAGGGCATCAGTACATAATCCTGGCACAATAGTGTACTGTTTTCTCAGTCTAAAGTTACGATTATGGTCATATAGTAGGACGTCTAATCTCAGTTTTTCCACATTTCCCCAGGCTACTTCAGAAACTACAATATAAGAATGGCTCAAAGAGTCAGGGTTGGGCAGAGATTGAAGATCTGAAGGATCTAAATCTACTCTGTACTCCAGGATATATTCAAACCTAAATGTGAAAATAGGGGGAAATATATAGATCTAAACAAGAGAGCATCACAGTGGCCTAGAAGTGAAGATGCTCACCTTCCACTCAGAAGGTTGAGAGTTCAATCCCAGGCAATGACAGAGGTATCTCTATCAGGGTGCAAAAAGAAAATATCTGCTGTGGATTCTGCATAGGTGTCAAGAAGGGCATCCAGCCAGTAAATGCTCAGCTCCGTTCAGTCGCCCCAACTCCACCCCAAATAAAGCAATTACAGGGTCATAAAAAGAAAAAGAAAAAAGGAGATCTGGACAAGAAGTGCCATCTCCAGATGCAGTATCTATTATCTTTTCTCACAGAAATGTAAAAGAAGAAAAATGTTAGAATTATAACATTTTAAATTTAGATGGGACCTGGACTCTATTCAATCCATTACTCAATATAGATCTCCCATATATGACACTTTGTTCTCCACCAGGGAAGGAAAGATCTACCAGTCAGCCACATATAGTTGCTTAGGTGAGATATTTTAGCAAAAGGAATTGTGACTGGAAATGCTGGTTGTGGGTTCAGATACAGAACGGGAAGAATGAAGATGTTTATTTATTTAAATAAAATATGTAGAAATGCCCAGTGAAGCAAAGTGCACAGGACGCTCCTAATGCCACCTTCTTTGCTTTGAAAACTTGTTCAGCCCTTGAACCTTAGAACCTAGGACAGTGTTTCTCAAAGTTGGCATTTTTTAAGAGGTGTGGACTTCAACTGCCAGAATTTCCCAGCTTGCATGCTGGCTGAGGATTTCTAGGAACTGAAGTCCACATGTCTTAAGGTTGTCAAGGAAGTTATACTGAGCATAGTATTGGGGGAGTAGGAAAGACTTGGAAGAAACCTGGAAAAAGTAAGAGATTAAAAAAAAAAAAAAGGAGAGCAAGCCATAAGGATAAGAAAAGAGGTTATCTGCTGGTTGAAGAACTGTGAACAGACTTCAGATGTATCTACTGCAGCTTTGTTTTACAGTATGGATTTCCTTCCTTCCTCTGATTTTTTTGGGGGAAAAAGGAACCTAGAGACTCAAGGGACTTCTGAAATAATTTGTATCTATTTACTTGGACTGGTGGATTCCGTAGTGGTTTCAGAGGCCACATTAACTTGTATAATGTGTAATTAATGACAATGGAGCTTTATGAGAAAGCATTGCTTATACATCAGCAGCAACAGTTGGTAAAAACCGGGTGCTTTTTTGCATATCTTGCCTATATATTTATCTCATCCCAGAGATAATGGGAAGGTGATGTTTTGCAAAACTTTTCCTGCTGCTGTAGTTGTTGTTGTTGTCACAGCTGACGAAAAACCATAGCTGATTGCAGTCTTTATGGAATAGCTTTTGGCATAGCTTAATAAGCATGACTAAATGTATAACTCAGGCCAAATTAGTTGATGTTTAGCAACTCATTCTCTTTGGAAAACAGTTTGCATTTTAATGTTCAATCTCTTTCAGCATGGATAAAAGCACATTTCAAACAATTCATCTGCATTTGCCCGCTTGTTAAATATGGTGCATTTTGTTATTTTACTTTTTTCTTAATGTCAGGTGCAAAGCCTTAATAGTCAGCCCATTTAGTCAGGAGCAAATGATAACTTTGAAAGAGAATGCAGCCACATTCTGTTCCTCTGCATTTATTATTTAAACATCGCTTTCATTAAGGCAAAGGAAGAGAAACCTTGTCATAAAAATTGTCAGTTTCCTCTGACCTCAACTTTCTGTGGAATTTATACTGGGTCTCTAATGGACATTCCTGAGATACAAGATTTATAGGATTTTCATTCCAAAACACAACAAATTGGAAAAACCGCTCATTACATCCTTATACATTTTTTTCATGACAGCTGCAGAGAGGCCAATGAGCTGAGGTGGCGCAGCAGTTAGAGTGCAGTACTGCAGGCCACTTTAGCTGACTGTGTTCAGCAGGTCAGCAGTTCAAATCTCACCGGCTCAAGGTTGACTCAGTCTTCCATCCTTCCAGGGTAGGTAAAATGAGGACCCAGATTGTTGTGGGCAATGTAAATATATATATACATTGCTTACTGGTGTACACCGCTTAGAGAGTGCTTGCACTTAAAGCGGTATATAAGTCTCATAAATAAATAAATAAATAAATAAACTACCAAGATATCATACAGTATAAAGAAGAAAGGGCACAGTCTCCATTGTGCTGCTGAAGAGAATTTATAGGCAAATGGCTAAAATAATGTCTGCAGCCTAATTACTGCACCCACATTTAAGATAGAGGTTTGAATTCCTTTATTGTTGAGGTGAACGACCAAAAGTATGCAAACACAGAATTGGTAAAATCAACTGTCAGATAGGTGAGTGAAAAAATGATTGACAAGGCATTTGTTGCCCAGTTCACTTACAACTTTGTTCTGAAGATGTGAGCAGCACAGCTAGCAAAAGGTGCATGCATATTCATTGCCTTGGAAGTCATTCCATCAATCTGATATTACTCATGTAATATCTATATTTTAACTCTTATTTGCAAGGTACATTTGGTGATGCATTAACATCATTTGGAGTGAAGGATGTTTTTAATTTTTTTATTTTCAGGAAGGTTTAGGGAGAAGTTTGAAGCTGCAAAATTGGCCTGTTGGGCTGTGCAGACGCTTAATGCACTATTTTGAGCACTTTGGGAAAACAACTGTCTGAGCATATGCTGGCAATTTTCCCAATGGAATTTGCTAGCAGAATTGGGTGCTGTGAGGTCTCCACAGTAGGAGCGAGAGGAAACCTACATCACAAAAGAGGCCACTCATGAATTTCTTAACCCATAATCTATGCCACTGTTTTCCAACAGTAGCAATTTCCAGTTGTGTAGACTCTTAAGGGAAATCAACCTTGACTGCCTTTGGAAGGACAGATACTGAAACTGACAAGCAAATACTTTGGCCAACTAATGAGAAGGGAAAGAACTTGATGTTGGGAAAGATGGAAGGCAAAAGGAGAAGGGGACAGCAGGTGATGAGATGATTAGATATGTCATCGATGCAATGAACATGAATTTGGGCAAGCTCTGGGAGACAATGGAAGACAGGGGTTCTGGCATGCTATGAATTAGACATGACTTAGCAACTGAACAACAGCAAGACTCCAAAACCCAGAAATCTCTAGGCAGCATTGCCACTGATGAAAATTCTGGGAGTTGAAGGCCACATACTTTGAACTTCTTACAGTTGAGAAACATTGATCTATGCCAGGAGTCTTCAAACTTGGCCCTTTTATGACTTGGGGACTTCAACTCCCAGAATTCCTCAGCCAGGCATGCTGGCTGAGGAATTCTGGGAGTTGAAGTCCCCAAGTCAAAAAAGGGCCAAGTTTGAAGACCCCTGCTCTATGCAACCTTTTATGAAAGCCTGCATTATCTCAAAGTTTAGAGAGAACAATTCCAAATAAAAGTTACTTTATGGCATCAAGACAGGGATAATGTGATACTTCTTGCAATCTTTTTTTTTTTTTTTTTTAGCTCTAGGCTAATAAGACAGTATTCTGTTTTGGCCCTTATAATATACGTTTCCATTTCTGCTAGGGATTAAGAGTGCATCTCAGCCCCACATAAGAGAGAGTTCTTAAAAAATAAAAAAAATAGTGGTAGCAATTGCGATGTTTCAAAATATATTTAGTTTTGTTTGAACATGAACAGACAACACCCTGGGGACTGAGCAAAAGAAGAAAGCAATCTTTCTAGAAAATAAGAACTATGTGAATGTCTGCATCAGCCATGGCAACTATTTTGTGTTTAGGAAAAACCATAAAGGTTGTCTGAATTTCTGAAGAGAAAACAAAACTGCAGTTTGAACATGGTGGTTTCTTCTAAAATTCTGAGCATGACTTTCAATGCCTGGAATTCTGGTTCTTGCTCACAGAAGGATGATGGAAACCATGTGTCAAATGGTAGCTTTCTTTTTTCCTTGCTACCTAAAACAATAATAGCAGTTTTCTTAAGATTAATGTTCCCATTTGGGTCAGATTCCTGTTCCCATCATTTTTAGCCAGTTTCACAGTTGGGTCTTTTAACCTAAGACTGCATTAAATCATTCACACTCTATTTCTGAATTTCAGATGCAGCAAATTAATATTAGAAAAATTATATTGGCCATAGTCTCTTGGTAAGTTTTCCCAATATATCTGGTTGCTGACCTAGAAAGTCTCTGTCAAACCATTTTGCATTCTTCTCAGTCTTTATCTTGCATTGACATTGTAACTCTCCACATTTTTATTATAAAACACTATATGTGAATGATTAGCTCCAAGTAGCATTTTCTAGTGATTCACATCCACCCATCTATAATCTGTGCCCTTCCTAAAAAATTTTCCATGGATCAAAATTTCCAGGAAGACTATTTAAAAGACGGTCAGAATAAACTGGTGTATTTTCATACCTGCCCATCTTGATGTGCTGGGTGTGTTTATTCAATATTTGTTTGTTCTGGCATCATTTAGCTCTAACGTGTCACATTGTTCCTTTACTGCAGACATTAACTCTTCTGTAAGTTTAGTATGTCTGCCTTGGAGTTAAATGAAAGAACTAGTGTAATTAACATATTTATTAAAAATTAAGGACAATGGTTTTTTTTCTTTGTTCAGATGTTGGAGAGACCATTTCCAGAGGTACCTACAGGATATAGTTTAAAAAGTGTAATGAGCTTCATAAATAGGCACAGCTTCAATCATACCATTGTGGCTGCCATGCTGTGTGGACACTCCTGAACTACAGTAATATATGGGAATCCATAAAAATAATAATAATTCTGCGAGAGCACATATATTCTATGACTTGAAGGCTGTGCCAATCTTTACAAGCACATCAGTGACTGCACATCAAAACCAGGTGAGGTCTGGATGCATTGGTGGTGGTGCAGTGGTTAGAATGCAGTACTGCAGGCAACTTCTGCTGACTGCCGGCTGTCAGCAGTTCAGCAGTTCGATTCTCATCAGCTCATGGTTGACTCAGTCTTCCATCCTTCCGAGGTCGGTAAAATGAGGAATCAGATTGTTGGGGGTAATATGCTGATTCTGTAAACCACTTAGAGAGGGCTGAAAAATACTGTGAAGCGGCATATAAGTCTAAGTGCTATTGCTATTGCTATTTTGTGGACAGCAGAGTATTTTTAAGGGAAAACAAATTTTGATCTGTAAACTCCCTTAAAGTTAGTATACACAAAAAGCAGAAACAAGGGGCCACAAAATGATGTTGGTGGTCTGCATTTTTATTCCACCCCATTTTAATGTATATGTATATGTTTTTATTCATTTATTTATAGAGACTTATATGCCTGCCTATCTTATATAGACCCCTGAGTGGCTCACAGCACCATAAATAAAATGTAAAAAAAAATAAGATTGTACACCATGTCAACAACCCAGTACACCTTGTGGTGCTCCAAATAGAAATGTTTCTATAGATAGCTACATCCCATATTTGCTGGACGTTCATTAATACTTTAATCCCTTCAGAACCTACCCTTTCCCCTCCTCCATATCCATTATTCTCTATAGTAGATAATTTTGTAAAGTGTTCTTGAGTGCACAATGACTTCAAACAAGATCAAACAGTGCACTCATTGATCCACCTATATAGTCTTGTTTTCCTGTGCAAATTATGCATGCTTAGCTATCATTGTACCTAATAGTGAAAAGGATTAGGGTAAGGGTTAAATCTAAATGGAAGCAAAACATCTAAAATGAATATTGGCATTAGGCAATAGGCAAGTATTATTGTAGGTCAATCTTCCTGTCCATATTTGGTGTCAATATTTCCAAACATGAAATATATCCGATTTTCCCTTCTTACCATAATGTTCGATTATTAGGATTATAGTTAAAACAATTCCTGTCTTCACATTAGTCTCGGCTGTTCTATTTTTATTCAAGGTCCAAATATAAAGGATTAAACTCTGCACACACCAATCAACCTAGTTCTGGATTTTGAAATAAACGAAGCAAAAGCTCAGAATTAAAGACCGAAGTTGATAGGTCTTTTATAACAGTATTCTGCAAAGTTTGTTTCATTGCCACAGATATTGAAAAACAGAGGGCATGATGGCTGGGTGATTAAAGATGCTGAGATTATGAGTTGAAAAGTGGACAGCCCAGGTCTAAGACCCAAGTGCCGTGCGACAGGGTGAACTCCCATTACTTACTCCTCTAGCAGTTTGAAAGCATGCAAATGAAAGTAGATAAATAGGTACTAATTCAATGGTAAAGTTACATCGTTCCGTGCACTTTGGCCAGTGGTGGGATTCAGCCAGTTTGCACCACTTCAGCAGAACCGGTAGCTAATTTTTTGTTGCCCAGGCCCAGAATGGACTTCCGGAAACAGCATCCACACAGAGAACTGGTTGTTCGCATATTTGAATTCCACCACTGGCTTTGGCATATAGTCCTGTTGGCCACATGACCACGGAATTGTCTTCAGATAACACTGGCTCCCTAGGCTAAGAAATGGAAATGAGCACTGCTCCCTAGAGTTGGACACAACTGGACAGGGGAAACCTTTACCTTTATAGAAAAATACTGCTGCATTAAGAATCCATTTCCACACTTGTTGTTTCCATTTTTTTAAAAGAAAAAATCAGCAAGCCAAAATTGCAGCAAAGATGTATTCCAGCTGAAGCATCAGTGATTCACCAAGTTTATGCCCCCTCTCATTCCAACTTGGGGAGACTCCAACTTGTTAGGCTAACCAAGAGATTGAATAAACAGGAGTGTTTGTTTATTCAAGGTTAGGATGACATGGGTGCCCAGGCAGACATGTCATCCTTTCAGCAGTGCCAAAAATCCCTGCAAGTTTTTTAAAAAGTACACACTGGGAGGTGTATGAAAGGGGACAAGTAGCCATACCCATCATTCAAAGGTGTATATATATATATATATATATATATATATATATATATATATATATGTATATGGATCTTTATGTATATATGGCACATAATCGATGTTAGTTAAATGCAGACTTGGGAATAATTATTATCATTGAAATAGAAACACCATCTACTGCAGTGGTTCTCAACCTTTCTAATGCCGCGACCCCATAATACAGTTCCCCATGTTGTGGTGACCCCCAACCACTTATACATCACCGGGTGCCAGGGGCGTGGCCAAAGGGGGGAAAAATGGCAGACAGCCTTGTTTGGCGACCCCCGTGAAATGGTCGTTCGACCCCAAATGGGGTCCCTATCCACAGGTTGAGAACCACTGATCTACTGTATGTTCCCACTATAAAAAGTCCGTATGTAGTTGTCATCACAGACTCAGTCTTTTGGGCAAATCTAAATTCTGGATGAGCAGTTTCAGTGCTGTCCTTGGAAATCTGTAGCTGCCATACTAGAACTTGGAGTAGAAAAACAGCATGCAATTATTTTGTCTCTGAGCATTTCGATTTCTTTGTTTATAAGTAGCTCTTACCTTACACTCATTTGTTTAGTGACCATTTGAAGTTACCACGGCACTGAAAAGAGTGATTTATGACTCTTTTTTCACATTTATGACCGTTGCAATATCCCCACAGTCATGTGATCAAAATTGGGATGCTTGGCGAGTAGTAGCTCATATTTATGACGGTTGCAATGTCCTAGGGACATGTGACCCTCTCCGCAACCTTCTGGCAAACAAAGTCAATGGGGGAGCCAGTTTCACTTAACAATTGTGTGACTAACTTAACAACTGTGGTGATTCACCTGACAGCTGTGGCAAGAAAGGTCATGAAATGGGGCAAAACTCACTTAACAACTGTCTTGGCAACAGAAATTTGGGGCTCTATTGTGGTCATAAGTCAAGGACCACCTATAAATTATTGATTGAAGGCACCCCTTTAGCATACATACATCATGATATACTTACAATCACCAGTAGTATATAAACAAGTATAAAATCCGACATTGATAATTTGACACTCTGCTATCTGACTTTATTAATAAGATTTTACAACAAATTAGCCTTACAATCCAATTTTATTGTCTGCTAGTCTCAATACCTACTCAAAACCACTTCCAATAATCAGACTCAGTCATTAAATACCTTATTAAATATCAAATCTTTCTTAAATGTATTCAAAGATGTGTGAGACTAGAATAGAAAATGAAGAGAAACCCATAATTCTGGGTCCACTTCTTGAAACAGATGTAAACAGGATGGAGCAACATGGAAAGATGCCCACTGTGTTCCACAAACAGGATCATGCCAAAAGAGGAGCTGGATGAAGCTATGGGAAATGTATAATTCCAGGGACATAAACACCAGCACCAAAAGCTTACGTTGGTCTCTAGACCTAGAAAGGCGCTGTTATAAGGTACAATAGGAGAAAGATAAATGGGGAAAGAAATAAGAGAGGTCCAGAATAACACAAACTGCAGATTTTTTTGGACCAGGTTCAATGGATAAAGGGAAGTCAAGGGAATACCTGCTCATAGACTGTTGTAGTAGTCTATGGGGACTGAACTAATAAATGCACGGTGACAATAGATAGGAACTGCCCCATTCAAAAGCTAATCAATGAATGAAAATAAAGTATCTTCATAGTCACTATGATAAAAATCTAAAGACAGAGTGCTACATCCAACAAGACTGCTGAGGTTTCTGCCCACTGACACCAGAGGCAGCTCACTGTCCAGAAGGAGAAGGAGAGAGCTAATAGAGAGGAACAATTTGACTGAAATATCAAGATCTCAATCTTATCCATATTCAGTTTTAGCTGATGTGCAGTCATCCATGACTCTCTAAAAGGCATGCTGGTAAAGCAAACAATACATTCTAATTTATCTCAGGAAAAAAGGTATCAACCTGGGTCTCACTGGCATAAATGTAGTATTTAAAACCAAATAGTAAAATCAGACAACCAAGAGGAAAGTTTTACAAAGAAAAAAAATAAGACTTACAAAAAAAGCTTTGAGAGACAGCCACTGAAAGGTGATATGCCAGTAAACAAACTGATGCTAAAATAATTGGAAAAGAGTTATGCCAGAGAGATTATTGAAACCAGAGTAAATCATTGCCTTTGATGTCCAGGGACTGTGGTCTCTTCAACAGGATTTGGTGGCCAAGAGGATCAACTTTTGCAGACAGATATAGTAGCAGTAATGAGAAAAAGTGCTGGTGCTTAGTCTGCAGAATGCATTCAATACCTGAGAAAGTACCATCTCAATTGAATGATCTTCCTAAATCCTGACTGAAATAGATCAGCAGGATCATTGACAGTTAGACAAACAGCAAATTACGAGAAGGCAAATTTTCAAGAATTTTGGATAAGAAGGGAAGGAGTGAAACATGGCTCAAGAGTAGTAACTGCAAGAGAGTTCTAGTAGACAATCACTTAAATATGAACCACCAGTGTGCAGTAGCCACCAAAAAAGCCAATGAAATCCTAGGCTGTGTAGAAAGAAAAATCTTCATAGGGTCCAGTCCAAGCCGAGAATTAACAACATGGAGACTGCTTTAGAAAGAAGGTTGTAGTTTATTGAAGAGGAGAGCCAGACAGAAAGATGGCTCTGGAAAAAATTGACCACATGGAGCAGAGTGGTGGGTTTTTATACCTTCTGGGGTCTTGAGGTTGTTTCCTGTTCCTGTTTGAAGCTTTGTATTTCCTGTGTCATGTACTCTGACCTGAGTTGAGTGTGCACCTTTGGCATTGGTGGATTAGTCCTATTATGTCCTGTCATAGGGTTTGGGTGGGGTATGTAGATTTTAAGTGTCTTTGTCTTCCTAATCTCTTCAATTTCTAGCTGGAAGGCTCTAACCTTCCTGAATGGATTATTGAATTTGCATTTCTAAATTTGGCCTCTGCCTAGGGGCTGGGGCTGGTTTCTGTCTTACAATCTTCTCCATTATTCCTTTGGGAAAATATAGTCTGCCTTTTTAATATTTCTCAAAATATTTCTTTCTCTGGGGGGAGGCTAACTTCCCACATCTGCATCAACAGAAGGATAGAATCAAGATCACATGAAGTGTTAGTACCACTTTATAAGGCCTTGATAAGGCTACACTTAGAATACTGCATCCAGTTTTGGTCACAATAATATAAAAAAGATGCTGAGATTCTGGAAAGGGTGCAAAGAACAACAATTAAAATGATTAGGAGACTGGAGGCTAAAACATATGAATGGTTGCAGGAATTGGGTATGCCTAGTCTAGTGAAAAGACAGATTAGGGGTGACATGATAGCAGTGTTCCAGTGTTTGAGAGGCTGCCACAAAGAAGAGGAAGTCAACTTATTTTCTGAAGCATCAGAAGGCAGGACAAGAAGCAATGGATGGAAACTAATCAAGGAGAGAAGCAATCTAGAACTAAGGAGAAATTTCCTGATAGTGAGAACAATCGACCAGTGGAACAGTTTGGCTTTAGGGGTTGTGGGTAATCTTCAGAAGGCTTTTAAGAAGAGACTGTCTGAAATGGTATAGGGTCTCCTGCTTGAGCTGGGGGTTGGACTAGAAGATCTTCCAACTCTGATGATGAATAGTAGTGAATGAAAATGAACAAAGAATGATTTATTCAGAAATGGTTGAACATTTCAACATTTCTGGACAATTGTCTAGCATTAAAGAACAGTCCATAAGGCAGGTCACATAAGGTGTGACAAGAGGAAGTAGGGAAGATCAAAACTAAGAGGGAAAAAGGTCAAATTCGCAAGTATTAAAGGTACTTAGCAAGTAATAGGGTCACCTTGGCAACTAAGTTCTTGAAAACCCTGGGAAAAAACAAAGGCAAAAGTTGCAAAACAAAAACAAAGGGATCAGGGGGATAAACAGTGGCTGAAAACCCTCCAGATTGTTGACAGTTCTGAGATGGAAATTAAGGTCAGCATCCTCAGGTGTTATGCCATTGATTCAATCCTTCCTCAGGAAGTCAATGGCAGAACATCTGAGGATGCTGACCTTTCTTTGCATCTCAGAATTGTCAACAATGAGTAACTATTATGAAGAACTTCTTTCAGAAACAGGATTGAGAAAAGGTAGCAGATTGGAGGAAAAATGTGCTTTCACTCATTCAGAAGATACTGTAAATAATGATCAGAAAGCAGGGAAGATAATGGGAAAGTTCTTGCTTCTCCAAGATGTTTCTTCCATTTATATTCAATTCATTGACCATTTGACTTTGGTCCCTGAGCCTCTCTGGAGAAGAGAGATATGGAGGATGAGAATGAATAACCTTTCATACAGGTGGACCAGTAATGTTCACAACCCTCTATATCAGTGGTTCTCAACCTTTTTAATGCCGTGACCCCAACCGGTCATAAGTCAAGGACTACTCAACCGGTCGTAAGTTGAGGACTACTCAACTGGTGCAGCACCGTTTGCAGAATGGGACTTTTGGTGGGCTCAGCAGGGCAGAGACAGCCTGGACAATTCCTGTTGGCTTTTGAAAGCCAATAGAATTAAGACTCTATTCAAGAGAGTCTATTCTATTGGCTTTCAAAAGCCAATAGAATAAAAGGGAGTAGCATAGCTAAGGAAAAGGGGAAAAAAATGGCGGACTGCGTTGTTTGGCGACCCCCGTGAAATGGTCGTTTGACCCCAAATGGGGTCCCGACCCACAAGTTGAGAACCACTGCTCTATATAGATGATTTTAAAAAGCTCTACCATGTTGCCCACTGAGTAATTACAGGTACAAACTTTCGACCACAATTGAGCCCAAAATTTCTATTTCTAAGACATTTCTTTAATGCGTTTTGCCCCATTTTATGACCCTTCTTGCCACAGTTGTTAAGTGAATCTCTGCAGTTATTAATAACACAGTTGTTAAGTGAATCTGGCTATCCCGTTGACTTTGCTTATCAGAAGGTCACAAAAGGTGATCACATGACCCTGGGACACTGTAACCGTCATAAATGCAATGGTCATAAGTCACTTTTTTTCAGTGCTGTTGTAACTTTGAACAGTCATTAAATGAATTGTAAATGAATTTGCTTCCAGCTCTTCTGCAACCAGAGGGAAATTTTCAGCCAAGGCCTCGGTTTGTGGAAAGGTCTTGAATCATAATTCCCTCTGGGGGGGAGCCAGATAAAGGAAGGGGGAACATAAAAATGATGCAAAATAATGACAGTAACCTGATGGAGTTACGGAAATTTATATTGACTGAGTTCCTTTAATCATCACACTTGGGTCAATATCTGACCTGCCATATGAACAGAGAGTGTTTCAAGAGAAGAAGAGTTAGTCACTCCAAAAAAAAAAAACTTGCTACAATGCTAGGAAGGTGTCATACTTATTAAAATCAGACTGTAGAGTACTCACAATTAGATATGCTATCTGACCAATTCAGAAAGAATGCAAATGCATTGTTAGCCCAAGGCTGCTTGTAAACTCATTTTAAGTTCCACTTTGGATTACTAAATTCAACTCCACAAATGTCAAGAAGCCCTGAATTCCTAGCCAGAGTTCAGTCAATGTCTTTCCCCTTCTGAGAAGAATTACAGATTATATTTCTTTCAAACCCTCTAGCCATATGATGGCATTTAAAACCATCAACCTCTAGAGCTGCTGAAGCAATGTTTTCTTCATTCTAAATCATATATCTGTTATGACTGGAGAATTCTGGGAGTTGAGATCCAGGCCTCTTAAAGTTGCTGAAGTTGAAAACCACTGACTTAAAATGTAACTTAAATGTGTAAATTTAAGGAGGTGCTGCTCATTCATCAAAGCAGAGCATCCTTTTTCAGCCTCACATGGAAGGTAAAAGGTTGGTGATCTTTTAGTAGCTAAAGATAAGGATACAGATGATTAGGGTTCTGGTTTCATAATTTGGTTTCTTGGATTGGGTGAACAGTTTTAAGGTCTTTGTATTTTGTGTTAAGATCTTTGTATTTTAGACTATGCTGAGTCTATATCTGAACTTACACTATAGTTTTCTGCATACCTAGCTTTAAAATAGTAGCAAGTCTCAATACTAATATTGAGCAGTTGTGGTCAAAGAGGATTCAGGAGACAGCAGAAAAGGATCTGGTGGCCATATCCAGCTCAGAAACCACCATCTAGGAGAATCCAGCCAATTATTCAGTAAACCATAATTTCAAAAACATGGGAAAATGTACAGTGTGTGAACTAATGTTTCTAAGATGTCATAGTATTATTATTTATATCACTTCTGCATTCCGTATTTCTTAAGAAAAAGAGATCTAAAATGCATTAAAATATAGCCATCATGTTAGATTGAGTGTGCTAGCTATTCATTGTTGTCTTCTTTCTATGTCAGTTCTGCCAGTCATCTTTATTCAACGATCCTTTCATATTATGAAAGAGGCAAGAAAATTTATCTTTCTCTGCCTACTTGCTCCATAACTATGACGATGAATGAGAGGCACGGACAAGCTAGGTACGTATTTGCAATCTCTCTGTGAGCCTCCCATTTTATGCTTGAATATTTAAATGCCGACGCTCATTTCTGCATGTGGCTGTCTCCAGCACTGCCTTGATCTTCAGCAATTCAAGTTGCAGTAGCTTTACAGTACATGACAAACAGCCCGTTTTCGTTTCTTGTGGGCCTTGAGAATTCATCCTTGCTGCCTCATTTGCTGACCTTGTTGTTGCCAGTAGCAATGATTGGCCCAACTGCGATGACATTTATGTTTCAAGAGCGTGGCTTCCTGATTGTCGTATTTAAACTGATAACTTCAGGGTTACCCTGGCATACACCCCCACATGGTGTGTTTTTTTAAAAAAGAAAACCCACATACAATATTTTAATGAACTGCTGCAGCATTTGAAGCTACCTTTGCTCTTTGTTAGAACACTTCAACCACGACATATCTGGAAATGCAGCAGAATCTTTTCCCAAAGATGTAAGCCAGGTTTCCTAATCTGGTAAACTGGAATAAGCTTTAATGCTGTTTGTTTAGCTTTGGCTTTATGTATTGTGCAAAGCCAACCCTTGCAGTTTCTGAGAGAATACCAATATTCCTCGACTTATGATGACAATTGAGCCCAGAATTTATGTTGCTAAGTGAGAATTTTGTTATGTGAGTTTTGCAACTTTTTTTGCCACATTTGTTAGTGACTCACTGCAGTTGTTAAATTAGTAACATGGTTGTTAAGTGAAACTGGCTTTCCCATTGACTTTGCTTGTCAGAAGGTTGCAAAAGATGATCATGTGACCCCGGGACACTGCTATCGTCATAAATGTGAATCAGTTGTCAAGCATCCAAATGTAAATCATATAACCATGGGGATGCTGCAACGGTCATAAGTATGAAAAGATAGTCATAAGTCACTTTGTTGAGTGGCCTTTGTAACTTTGAACAGTCAGTAAATGAATTGTTATAAGTTGAGGACTACCTGCATTGTGGAAACATTTTTTTTAAAAGTAACAGTTATTCAACATAGCAATTTAGATCATATCTTTTTCGGTATACTCAAGACAAACCTCCTTCAATATGTCCATATTTTTATAGCAACAATGCAGAAGTGGTTCACTGCTGTATGATTCTAGATTTTTCATCTTTCTAGGTTAAATGATAACCTGGGTATTTTTTGCTGATCTCCCTTTGAAGCATACTAAAACCTGTTTAGCTTTTTAAAAATCAGCCAAGAATGTTCAAATGCTGCCATCTAGCTGGGCAAAGCAATATTAATTTCTTGGCATAAAAAAAGGAATAGGAATAGAATAGAGCTGGAAGGGACCTTGGAGGTCTTCTAGTCCAGCCCCCTGCTCAAGCAGGAGAACTTATATCATCTCAGACAAGTGACTGTCCAGTCTCTTCTTAAAAACCTCCTGTGATGGAGCAACCACAATTTCTGAAGGCAAGCTGTTCCATTGGTTAATCGTCCTCACTGTCAGAAAGTTTCTGTTAATTCCAAGTTGCTTCTCTGTTTGTTCAGTTTCCAACCATTGTTTCTTGTCCTGCCCTCTGGTGCTTTGGTGAATAACGTGACTCCCTCTTCTTTGCAGTAGTCCCTCAAGTACTGGAACACTGCCATCATATCTCCCCTATTTCTTCTTTTCTTTAGACAAGCCCACGGGTCAGCAACCCACAGCTCCAGAGCCACATGCAGCTCTTTGAGCCATCCCCTGTGGCTCTGGAGCCTCCCCCCGCCATTTTCAGAGAGAGACAAGGAGAGAGAGAGGCACTTTCTCTCTCTCTCTCTCTCTCTCTCTCTTTCTCTCTCTCTCATGTGGACTTGCCCCCTTGTAGGGCTCCTGATTGGCCCTATGCCCGGGTGCCCTACCCCCTGGGAGAAGGGCGGCCAGGAAGTCCCTTTCCCGGGCTGGCCCCATCTGAGGTGCATGTGGCTGGGGAGCCGCCCGAGCCTCCACTGAGCGAGCCAGCCCTTCCACAAACTGCGGCCCCAAGGGACAGTAGCCCCTCCGATGCCCAGCCGCCGTGACCATTGGCCAATCAGCAGCAGAGACAGAGGGTCAATGGCAGGGGGCTGGGCAGCGAGGACCCCGACCATGCTGCAGTGGCCAACGCCGGAGCTGCCACCGCCGCCGCCAGAGCTGCTGCCTCCTGTCCTCCCCCTCCCTGCCTGTTAGCTGAGGACGTGGTGGGGGGATGGCTGGGAGCCGTTGCCTCCCATCCTGCTCCCCCTCCTCGCCCGTTCAGCTGAGGATGCAGCAGGTGGGCAGCTGGGAGCTGCTGCCACCTGTCCTGCTCCCCCTCCCCCCATCTGTTTGGCGCCATCTGCCTTTCGCTCTCTCTCTTCACCTGGAGGGAGAGGGAGAGAGAAAGAAAGAGAGAGAGGGGAAAGAGAGAAAGAGGAAAGGCAGAGAAGAGAAAGAGAGAGGAAAGAGAGAGAAAGAGAGAGGAAAGAGAAAAAGAAGAGAAAGAGAGAGGAAAGAGAGAAAGTTAGAGGAAAGAGAAAGGGGAAAGAGAGAGAGAGAAAGAAAGAAAGAAAGAAAGAAAGAAAGAAAGAAAGAAAGAAAGAAAGAAAGAAAGAAAGAGGAAAGAGAGAGGAAAGAAAGAGAGAGAAGAGAGAGAGAGAGGAAAGAGAGAAAGAGAGAAAAGAGAGAAAGAAGAAAGAGGAAGAGAGAGAAAGAGGGAGAGGAAAGAGAGAAGAAAGAGAGAAAGAGAGTGGGAGAGAGGAAAGAGAAAAAGAGGAAAGAGAAAAAAGATTGAGAAAAGAGAGAAAGGAAAGAGAAAGAGAAGAGAAAGAGAGAGGAAAGAGGAAAGAAAGAAGAGAAAGAGAGAGGAAAGGGGAAAGAAAGAGAGAGAGAAAGAGAGAGAGAAAGAGAGAGAGAAAGTTAGAGGAAAAAGAGAAAGAGGAAAGAGAAAGAGAAGAAAGAAAGAGAGAGAGAAAGAGAGAGAGAGGAAAGTGACAGAGAGAGACCCTTTTGACATCTAAAATGAAGATAACACTGCATATATCTTTTTTTACCTTTATTTTATACACACACACACACACACACAGAGAGAGAGAGAGAGAGAGAGAGAGAGATTAAAGGTAAAAAAGGATATATGCAGTATTATCTTCATTTTAGATATCAAAAGGGTTTTGCGTCTCCCAGTGTTTTGTTTTCAGTGGGAAATGTGTCCAAGTGGCTCTTTGAGTGTTTTGGGTTACCTACCCCTGGACTAGCCAAACCCAAGTCCTGCAGCCATTCTTCGTATGTTTTAGTCTCCAGGCCTTGGATCGTCTTAGTTGCTCTTCTCTGAATTTTTTCCAAACTCTCAACATCTTTTTTTTTTTTTTTTGATATGGTGACCAAAACTGAATGCAGTATTCCAGGTGTGGTCTTACTAAGGTTTCATAAAGCAGTACTAATACTTCGCATGATCTTGATTCTAGAAGAGTAACTTCCTCTCTTACGCTTCTTTATAACAGTGTTTTTCAACCTCAGAAACTTTAAGATAGGTGGACTTCAGCTCCCAGAATTCCCTAGATCGCCCATCTTAAAGTTGCTGATGTTGAGAAATACTGCTCTATAGAATATATCTATTCTATGAATAGTCTTTCTGGGTTCACTGGGACATATTCCCAGATATATACATCTCTGAAGTTTAAGGACTAGTGTTTCTGTCAAGGTGTGTAAAATTTAGGCTGCAATCATACGTTCGACGAAGGAATGTTTGGTTCAACCACTATTTGTTGAATAAACCATAATTGCTAAGTTCACATAATATATGAAATATGTCATATATTATGTGTCATATAACATTATACAGGTAGTCCTTGACTTACAACAGTTCATTTTAATACCATTAAAAGTTACAACGGCACTGAAAAAAGTGACATGACCATTTTTCACACTTATGACCATTGCAGCATCTCTATGGGCACGTGATCAAAATTCACATGCCTGGCAATTGACTCACATTTATGACGGTTGCAGTGTTCCGGTGTCACATGATTCCCTTTCGTGACCTTCTGACACGCTGTCAATGGGGAAGCCAGATTCACTTAACAACCGTATTACTAATTTAACAACTGCAGTGATTCACTTAACAACTGTGGCAAGAAAGATCATAAAATAGGGCAAAACTCACTTAACAAATATCTCACTTAACAACAGAAAGTTTGGGCTCAATATATATATCTATGTGTGTGTGTGTGTGTGTGTATTATAATACATTATGACATATAACTTAATATATGATGTATAACATAATATACTAAGCCAAAATGAATGAAATCATATTGTTAATTTGTTGAGTGAATCCAGAATCTTGCAAAATAAGCTTTAGGTTACAAAAACTTACAATATTACACATTTGGGAGCTTTAAGATTTTCTAGCACTGTTACATTTATATTTAAACAGAAAATGCTGCCATTTTAGTTAATGTGATGCCAGGAATGGGTACATATTATAGGCCAATGAGTCAAGATGTTTTTTGTGTGTGTGTCACCTGAAAGATAGAAGTACCTAGCTGAGGTGTATTGATTTTAAACAGGAACAAGTCTAGTTAGTACTCGTATAGATAATCAAATTAAGGCAGGAAATAGAAAAACTATCCTGAGTGAAGACAACAGTGAAACAACTGCATGTTGTTGGCAAGGAAACTACCACTTTATGTTCATTAAATTATTGGAAGAAGAATAAGACCTTTATGTTTTACTGAATAGTGAAGTTTAGTTGGGGAAGGCACACACACACATGTACATAATCACAGTCATGCACACCATGAATGTGTTTTAATAGATTGAAGGCTAATGCTACATTTACAATAATCCTGCATCCCAACATTTTAAGTGATCACTCAACACTGAATGCAGGTATGTCTTTATCTAATGTCTATTTTGTGAGAGACAAGTGTTCCCTTTTCAACAGCAATTTAATTGTATGGTCTTAAACATAATTTGGAAACTTTTAAAAAGTGTTCTTTATTAAGTTATTTGTTCCTATTTTTTCTGTATTACTTTCATTCATATTATTCCAA